AGAGAGAGAGAGAGAGAGAGAGAGAAGGGGGGAGAGGGAAGGGGAGAGACAGATTGCTTACTTCAAATTTTTGGCAACTGTAACTGAAGAAGGATTCTGAGCTCAATCACTGAGTCTCTTTTTTCCATGTACTTGTTCATTGTATTATGTTATTGAAAAATCAGTAGGTCATTTTGCTTCTCTCTGCCTTAAAATCACTGCAAGAATATACATGAAACCTGTCTTTGTGAATATATTCTTCTATTATGTAAAGCAGAATTGTACGTTGTGTTAATGATATCAACCTGTGCTTGCAGCTTGGAGAAGAAAGTGTATCTGTTGAAACGGGAGGTGGAGGCCCTGAGATCGTCCACATCTGTGAGCTTCCGAACCAGCCATTCCACCAGCCCCACTGCCCCTTTGGCTGACAAATCACATAATGTGGAAAATGTGGGTTTACAGGTAGGCCTACGGAAGAAATATTTCAATGTGTTATGTACTCAATTAGCGTAATTCATCTCTGTCAATCACGGTTGTGGTCTCTGGTATACCAGACAGTGGTATCAATTTGACAGATGGGCTGAAAAGGAAGAAAGCTTTTGTCGCAGTAAATAGTCTATAGTTATAGAAGAGGGGGAGTATTTTTTCAGATGAAAATGTTTCTGAATACATATGGAATCAGGGTGACTTGTTTAAAAAATGCTCCTGTACTGTTAAATAACTTGAAAAATGTTTTTCCTACTGCAGTTTGACTTTAGAATAGGTTGTTATGTGAATGACTTATATCCCTACCTACAATTTGTTTTCTTGGTATTAGACATTGGCAGGACTATTTAACAATTCAGTTGGCAGTCCAGCTCTTCTTCCATTTCTACCTAATTTCTTTAGAATTGGGGTTTATGATGTCAAGAACTGCTATCGTTGGTATATTCACAGTCTGTTCCTTACCAAGCTGCTAATTTCTGGTTGTTGGTAAGAACTAGTTGTTATATTGATGTAAAACCCATGTTCACACTACAAAGTTATTTAAGAGGAGGAACCTCCAAATGAAATATCCAGTTCTGATAGGACTGAACAGAATGGGTGGAGATCCTTGAAAACTCCCCGAAAAAAAATCAAGTTCAAGAAGTCCCCTTTGAGGATTCAAACTAGGAACGTCCAGATCACAGTTCAGCATGATACTAACTGAGCTACTTGGAGCACCTTATTTTCAGTTTCGTGCTCTGAAAAGAGTAAAGTGGAAGATCCACTACCTTAAACCCTGGTCCCCCACAACACAATTCGCTTGCAGGTGAAGGATGTCTTGTCTGATTTTGTTATGTTGATAATTGTATCGTCAACAGGAGAGGTCAAGGCCATGCTCTCGATGTTCCCAGTGTTCCAGTACAGTCAGCAACTCTCCCAAACTGGACAGTCAGTACAATCTGAAAAGTTTTCTCCCGTCCCCAGCAGTTTCCCGTGATGCACTTCGCAGGACTTCTCCTAGATTATCTCGACAGGTGGAAATAAATCAGTTTACCTTTTTTTTTTGGTCCATAAAGTATTTCCACTGAATTATGATGATTTGAGTTTTCACTCTCGCCCTGTTGAAAACTCTGAAAAAGCAATAGAAGTCAGCTAGAATATAAACAGTTAATGGAAAATCTGCTCTTAGAAGAAAATATTGGCCCATCCTTTGGCAGGGAGCCCTGAAACTCAATGGGAGACTGGAGTACCTGCAATAAACAGCAGCTTCGCACAAGAGACTGGGATGTTAAATTAAAGATAAACAAGTAGAAAGAAGAAGAATGGAAAATCTGAAAAACAGGAATTTCACAAACAACCCTTTTTGCAGTATTAGATGTTATACACACCAGAAGATCAGGAGCAGGGAAAATTTGAGAAAAGAACTCAAATTATCTTTTAGCCATACGAGTACATGTGGGATTTTGGGATTAAACCAAATGTTAATTTTTTTAAAGTGGAGCATCAAGCCTCTCTACTTTTATGTGCAAATGAAGATGGCTTAGCTTGGAGGGACAGCATAGTAAGGAAACCTTGGTTTCCAAACATCTGTAGTTTTAAATGGGTTATTAAGTTGTTGAAAGAAATGAATAAGGGGAAGTGACCTGTAGAGGAAAGTGGAATAAGAGTCATAGTATTGTTTGTTTAAATTTTACATAGCTCAGTGTTTTGTTTCGGTGATAGCTTGATTTACATAATATATCAACTTGCCATTATTTCTGTATGGTATTGTTTAAATTGTAGAAATATTTTCAGTAAAAACTGAACCTGCGTGAATAACTATATGTTTGAGAGATTAAATTAAATTATATTTTAAAGAATTTTTAAGTTGATTTCTCTTGTATTTTTTTTGTCAGATAGGGGGATTTTTTGCATCTCGAGAAGTAAACTGGTATTTTGTCTTTCTGCAGCCGCCTAAATTACCTGTTGGTGGAAGTGTGTCATCTACCAATGATGTGGCAGTCTCCACTTGCTCACAAACCAGCAAAAACACCTGTGAACATGTTCACCTGGACCGCAGGAAGAACTCTCTCCCAGAGATGACCAGTGAGCCAGACGTTGAGGTGAAAAGGATCAGTCCCAAGATATCCAAGGAAACACAGTGTTGCCTCCCTATGAGGGGAGACTCCGCCATAGAGGAACAGTTTATTGAAAGTAAGAAAGTTTGTGATCTCTTACTTCTTGTAGCAGTGTCTGGCAAAAACGGAATATGTAATTTCTGTAAGTTATTCAGGCTCTTGTTGTCTTAGCAGGCAGTCACATTTGTTAATATACGTAACCCACATATTGAGAGAGCTCTTGTTTTGCAGTTTTTCTCAGGACTGACCAGCTTTCAGTTGAAAAGAACACAATATTTTTGTACTTGCATTTGAAAATGTGCTGACAGGTTGGATGAGTTCTTCCTATTTTTGTAGTTTTTGTAGGGTGTAAGCAGTGTCTGATATACATGTTTGTAACTGAAAGTTGAGCTTAATAGGATTCTGGTTTGAGGGTATCTATGCAAGGAAAAAGAGAATCAGTCTGATTTGGGTTGATTTGTACTAGGTATCTGCCATTTTTGAAAAATGTTTATGTGAAAAAAAAAAGGCAAGGAAAGTATCAAAAATTGTGGAGAAGAAATTACGAAATTCAGGCATTCATAGATACTGTGGAAAATGTGTCTATGTGAAGTTGAACATTTTTATTTTAAAACTTAAAAGTAGAAATAAATTTTATAAATAACTTGAAACTTACAATTGCATATATACATATCTCAGTTATCTAAACTTATCTTTATTAAACATCATCTTAAAACTGTATAACTTTGATGCTTCTGCAGCTGTGCGTTTGAATTCGAAATTGGCCGAGGAACTGGGATCTGCTCGAAAAGAAATTGAAGTTTTGAAAGGACGTCTGAAGGAACTGGAGGTGAGTGCTTTTCTGTGCAAAGTGCCTCTAAAATCATGAAATGTAATATTTGTGTCTCATCTTTTTTTAAAGCTACACGATGAGGTAACTCTGAATGAGCAGCTTGCTCCAAAACTATTTTTGATTGTACACTTACAGTCTTGAATTGAGATTGTATCCTATAAACATTAAATAAAATTATGGTATATGATGTTTGGTCTTCATGAAAAACCCCCTGATGTTGGCAAAATATTCAGAGCCAAATTTATAATAAAGTTGTAATGATTTGGTGCTGTGCACTCTTTCTTGCTGCCTGTGAATGTGCCATCAAGCATCCTAATTCATTTAATTTTTTTGCTACTAAAATACATCACTCTGTAAGAACAGCAACCTCCACTATACAGGCTCGTTAATAATGATTTTGCACCTGGTTTTGTTTATCACATTTTGCTTTGTTCCTCAAACAGGGAAGTGACCTGTCCTCTTCTCTTTGCTTGCTTTTGTAGAGGTATCAACATCAGCACTGTTGAGGATATTTTGCTTTGTTTTTCAAATAGAAGACTTGTCAGGACATTTTTTAGTATTATTTGAAGAGTTTAGCGTCTAAAACATCGTTTAAGACATTGTTTTATTTTTATGCATATATATAGTCAAATGCCAGCCTTTGTTAGTCATATGTCTTGTTATAAAAATAAGTGCTCAAGGATTTATCCTCCAAATGTCTTTCCTCTTAGACACTTTTTTATACTTATCTGACTTTCAGATGAACCAGCTTGCAAGAGAATGCACTCAAGAACAGTACAGGCCTGTCTCTGACTTTGAGGAAACGACTTTCCGAGGATCACGAGATGATTCCCCTGCAATAGCTCCAGATCCCTTATTTAGGTCAAGTAATGGCAATAACTGTCATCGGAGACTGAAAGCTAATGGGTTAGTGGAATGAATGATTTGGAGGAAAGGAAAAATACCTCCTGTTCATAGTTTCTATAATTTTTGGGACTCTGCTTTGTTGATTTGGGCATTAATTCATGAGCTTATTTCCTTTAGCTGCTCAATGCATAGTAAAAGCATCTTTTTAGTGTAAAATCTCAAAGGATTAACAGTAACTTTGATATTGTCAATGTGGGGCATTGGAAAAAGTTCTGGTCCTGTCTCTTACAGATAGTTACACAATTGGAGCAATTGTAAGATATTATGTTTTTGTAATGCAAGGATGAATTGAGTTCATTTTAAGCTTTGGATAGGAATTCCTCCTTGAAGGCAAAAAACTAGAAGCAGTTTTTGAACTGACGTGCTCAGTTGGTACAAATGGAGGTCAGTTTCTTTTGTTATGGAGGTGAGGACCCAAGGTTTCTTCTGGATCAGGATAATGGAAATACCCTAGACTGTTTTTCCTTGTTATGAAAGTCTTATTTCAGTTTCTTTCTTCACCCCAGGTTTTCTCCTGTGAAAAGCTCTGCATCTCGAGTTCCTGGCCAGTCAGGCAGTTTGTTGTATGCAGAACCGCTGTATGGCTGCAAGTGCATTGCCTGTGAAGAAGCTATGGGTGGAGAGATTCATGCAGCACTAAGTGCCAGCCTTAATGAAGATCTACAGAAATTTCCCATCAAGTAAGATGCTGATGTTTACACCAGTGTATATCTCTTATTAGGCAGATTTAATTTTATATGATTTTCCTGACAGCCTGAATTAAATCTGTGCTGTCATTCAGAATTCTTGATATGCCTTGTTCATCGTGCCGAAAAATATCGGAAATCTTTGAAAATACAACATGTTGCCACTCAAAAAATACACCTTCAAGCTTCAAATTCTTACAAAGTTATGAATTATCATTATGTGTCTTTAGTTTAGTTTTAGTAGAGTTTTTACCGTGCTCGCAACTGCATAAAGTCATATGATCGCCAAGGGGTGGATGTCAACATAGAAGTCCAAACTGGGAATCAGGCTTACTCTGCTTTCTTCTCTAGCTTCAACAGCATAAAGTCTGCTTCGACTATCAAGGCTCCCCGGAAATAGCGGGTCACAAGAGTGTGACAAACATACTCAAGAAGTAGAGGTAAAATGACGATGGCAAGAATTAGGAAAGAAAAAGCAGCGTTCTCCGTTGCAGTTCAGGTGCAGTTATGAGCATGACATTGATGAGCACTTGACAGAAATAATGTGTGTTGTTCTGGTGGAAGGAGGTAGATGGGAAGGACACAAACTGTGTCGTGCTGTCCTATAGAAGTTTTAAAAAGTTGTACTTAAATTGAGAGGTACAGGAATAAGAAACAAAATGATTAGAATATTAAATTAGGAACTAAAAAGCAGGCTGTGATTTTGTTTGGTCAAATAGTAAGAACTTATTTTCAAATGAAACGCCTTGTATTCTGTTTCTATTTATGGACCAACCAGTTTTGAGTTCTGAATATTTTTTCCATTCCTAGTGGTATTACCAGCCAGCCTTCTCTTGAATTAAAAAAAGTAATGAAGACTCATGAATAGGTCAATTCATTTTAAACTTCTGTCCAGTTAGATAACAGAATGGTCACCCAAATCTTTTTGCACGATCACAGTTACTTTTAGGCATTATAAAATCATTGGACCTATAACTGCCTTTTATATGTACCTTCATCTTTTTTTGCTTAGATCACAGCGGTTATAGAGCGCCCATTTAGTTTCGGCTGGCGCGAGGCAAGCAAGCCCGCGCTTCCCCAGGTCACGGGGTCATTTACCTGCGCCGCCGGGGATTTCCCTAATCAGCCGAACACCGGCAGCGCTCTTGTATTTTTTGCAAAGTTTACCAGCACAGTGAGCCAAAGCTAATGTAAGATGAATATTTTAATAAAGACCACGTAAATATTCAACATATTAAGGAAGAAAATGAAGAAATCGGAAGAACATGGTACATTACACTTAAAAGCTGTGAAGTTCTCAAAAAGGGGACTTAATTTGATAAATGTGTCATGGGTAATCAATTATAAACATCGATTTAAATATGATTGCCCCCAACGAATTCAATCAAATTTGCACACAGGACTGAGAACATAATGAAATTTGTACTGACAAAGGGGCATATGCACGAAGTTTCTGGATCCGTAATTATTCAGGTTTGAAGTTGATTTTTGCAATACTCTTGCTTTGCGACCTTGTTTTTTCATAGCGATATCCACGATACATGTAACTACAGGACAGATCTTTTCTTGCCGATACACTTATGAAAACACAACCTAAACACAAAATACAAAAAGAACACAATATTGCTGGACTGGAGGAATTATCTCATTTTTCCGCGGTAAGCTTTCGTCTTTTGATGGGTGGTGCACACGACAGAGTAGCTCAGGGTGGGTTGGACGTGTTGTGACTGCATGATTGTTTTGACGTGTTTTTCTTTGTCTGTTAGGCCACGGTTGCATGAATGAGCTCACCCCCTTGCTCACAATGGAAGGCCATTCCAAACCCACATTTTTGTATCCAAGGAACGCAGTGTTTCTCAAGGATGTGTTGTTTGGGGATGACCTTTTCTTTTGATCGATTTTGATTGAGTAGCACGTGTTTTACAGCACTATCGACTCCAGACCTTTTATTTGCCAAATATGTTTCTGTATAAAGACATAGATCGTGTGATGCATGACTGAATAGTGGTATTCTCTCTAAAGTGATTGGCTTTCCATGTGCAATTACTGTGTGGATATCTTTGAAGGTGTCTTTTACGTGAACAAATTTCTCTCTCAGAACAATTAATGCGGTGTCTATTAGGCTTTGATTTCGTGTACATGCAACTGTTCCTTTTGCTAAAAATGATGCTAGCTGTCTGTACACATGGGCTGTGATGTATTTATGGCAGTGGCTTCCTATAAATGAACGGCTGTGGTAGGCCTGTGGTGTGATGTTGTGTTGTTTGAGGATGTTATCAAATTCAGAGCAGGCAGGACTTGACCTTGGAATAAGCTCCTCAAACTCTAACTCTGACAGCTGATCATGTACACTAGAACCCTTCCTCTCAAATCTCTCTGCTTCTCGTGGATTATCCGACAAAATCTGACAGCCCTGTAACAATTGAATGTCCTCCTTGTTTTTTTCCAGCCCTCTTTCATTTTTTTGCCGTAGATATGCACATTTTGTCCTATTCCAGGCGTGCAATTCTCCATAGATTGATGGACCAGCTGTACATCTATATCATGTGCCAGCTGTACATCTATATCATTTGCAGCCTCCTCAAGAAGGCGATGATGTTTGAGCACAATGCCCACCATATGACCATGTTGAGTGTGGCACTCCATGACAAAAATATTGTTAAAAATGACAACGAAAATCAGATGTAGTAGAGGCAAGAAAACTAAAAACAGCAAGGATGAATGTTCAGAGTGGTGGGTTGATATTTTTAAAAAATCACAGAAAATCATAGAATAACTTCGTGCATTTGAAACTTGCACATGTAAATGAAAATTGTCACCACAGTTGATACATGAATTTCTGTTTAAATCGTTGGGGGCCGGATTGAAATATCTAAATCCAAACTGAAAAAGTTCTAAACATTGAAGATGCCAGTTTGAAAATCACAGACTTACTTAAATCCCTTGTAAAACTGATATAATCGGACTTACAAGAAAACAAGTTATACCGGCCTACAGGTCAAACATAGCACGTTACAATGAAATCTCAATCGGCCTTGTAGCATTTATAGTTTCAGAGTTAAGAGGCTTTCAATTCGCACTAAAACGCCATATTTACTACTGCCCCGGCACAGGAGGAGTGGCGCTGCGGTAACCCCAATTAACCCCTCTGACAAGTGATTTATGACTACGCGCTGGGCTGTCGGGCGGGGCGGGCAGGGTGGTGAGGATGGTCGGGGAGGAACCGGGGAAGGAAAACTAAGTGAGCGGTCTGGACGGTATTTTATCCGCCGTGAGATGTATCAGTGTATTAGTATTTGTAGTAAAATGGTGAGGCACTTTAAAGATCCCTTGGATGTCCAAAATTGATAAAAGTAGGCTTCAACCGCCACCTCAACAAAATTCAAAATGTACTACCAGCTGAAATATGTTTAATGTGTCCCGCACGCTCAAGTATGACTTTATGAAGTTGCGAGCTCTGTAAAACGCTTACAACAAAAAAAAAAAAATGATGGTTTTGGCTCGGAATTAAGTAATTATCTGTTCAGTTGTGAAGAGAAAAGTTTGAGTTTTGCATATGATATTTTGAGAGAGGATGAAAATTGTTATGATTATTTCTGTGGTTTTTTGCCATTCTGCTTCCTGCATATATATATATTTGTAGTAATGTCCTGGTATCACTTACAATTTCATTTGCATCTGACTCCATAGCTCCAAGGTGCTGGTACAACTGGGAGACCATGTTGTGACCAACGGAGAGAAGACGGGCCGCATCCGCTACATCGGTCACCTTGATAAAATTGGACAACCCAACATGGTTTTTGTTGGTCTGGAGTTGGATGCCCCAGGTGAAAAATCAGCTGCTTTTTGTAATCTTTTAAACCTTTTTGATGTGCTGTTGTCTTATTCTCTACATCTGGGTTTCTTTTAGGTTGGATATCAACTTTTCCCATTTGTTTTTTGTGACCAGTTGTCACTTTCTTAGGAGCATTTTAAAAAAGTTTATGAAAGTTTTGATGAACCCTTTATTTGCCAGGGGGTATGCCTTCCTACTGTCAGCTCTGATTTTTAGCTAAGTTCGTTACCCAGGACAGCAGTCTCATGTCTCAGTCTTAATGAACTTGTGGTCTAATCTAGCCAACTTGTGACATATTTCGGACCAAGGGGCTTTGATTGTGTCACTTCTCTAATTCCCTATATATCCCCCATCTTACTCATAATTTAGAATAACTTGCAAATCAAAGTCGAAAAGTGGAATTTTCTGCTTTTTTAAAAGGGTGTGAACATTTTCCGAGAGCACGCAGCCACCTGCAAGATTAGATCTGTGTTTATCAATCACTTGCAAGCTTAACAGTAAAGTAATATTAGCAAATTTGAATACGAATCCACACAGTACTTTTGTGGCAAATTTTGTGAACTTCTGTGACGTCCATGGTAGGGTACAAAGCTAAAAATTACGCAGTTTCATGATGTTCCAAGTACTTCCTTAGGCAACAAAGGGGCTAATTTATATTTCATAGAAGGTTGGGCCTGAAGATGTAGAGGTTGAGATGAAGTGTCTGGTACTGTAAATGTGATTTTAATATTCTGCACAATTAGAGTCCTGTTTTGTTAGTCTACTTTGTGTATTAAGTAAGGTCAATGCAATGTATTTGATGTTTCAAAACATTGATACTTAACTGGCTTTTAAAACCAGGCTTCACTACCAGGTCTTACACTGGTTTCAGAGTAAAAGGGGGGATAATTTAAAGAAAGATAATAGTGCTAGTTACTTTCTAATGAGAGCAAGAAGCATAATAATCAATGTATTATGCCAATCGTAAAATTTTATGGCAGTTTCTTAACGCAGGTAAATAGGCCCCCTGTGCAGGGGGAAATCCCATGAACCAAGGCTGCTCAGGGGTGACCCCACTCTACCTCCCATAACTTTTTCATTTAAGAATATTTTCCCTTGAATTTCTGCTTGTACATTCTACATTGAACCGCATGTCTATTCATATAATTTTGGGGGGATTTAAGGAGTGATGGAGAAAATTTGGAGTTAGTAACATTATGCCAAAAATACCACCACCAAACAACATAAGACTACACACATTCGAGTAATGATAAACTGAGACCCAAAAGGGGAATAGATCTTCATGTTGTGTTAGTGTCTGCAAGTAAAGAGGAATTGACAAGAGGCTTTACCTACCTTATACAATGCTAATACAATTCATATATATACAGTCGAACCTGCCTTAACGGAAATCTGTGTAAAACGGAAATCTCTCTTAACGGAATCTCCCCGCTCCCTCCTTGATATGTTCCTCTTTAATTACCTGTATAAAACGGAAACCTGTCCAATGCGGAAACGGAAAGAAAAATCTGCTCCCTTCCGAGGGTTTCACCTGTCTAAGACAGAAAATGCTTTGCCCGCTGAGCCCTGATTAGAAACAAAACTCTCAAGTTTGGTTCCGCCGGCTCTAAACTTAACGCTATGGCCATGCCGCTGGCCGAAGAAGGGGAGTAGGGGTGCAATTTGGGGGTAGATGTTATATTACCCTAGGCCTACTGAGGAAGCCTAGATGTTACCCCATCATGTGAACCCTGAGTGATGCAGATGGTCAGTGTAGTGTGGGTGTGAAATCTCACGACTGCCTGTGAGAGTGCTCGAGTAGCGAGCCACTACGGAAACTTTCTTGGGTAGCCAGAAGCCAGAAAAGTGAAATTAGATTGACCAATGCCAGCCGAGAAAAGAGTTCCTCGAATCATTGTTACATGATGGCAGTGAGGGGTGGCATTGGTGGGTGGGACTAAGGGTGACAAAGGAGATGTTCAAACGTTCCTGATAGGTCAAACAGTGGTCCTATGAAATGCAAGCACTGGTCGTAATTGTATAAGTAAGACTGACGTATGTCATTATCAGAGAGGATAGCAGCTGAGAGGTGTGAAGTTTTGACCACTGCTTGCAGATCGGACAAGCGATCCTTGATCCAACCGGCTGGGCCTTTGAACCCTCCCCCCCCCCCACCTCCATCTTCCCCTAAATTCCCCTGTCTAAGACGGAATTTTTTTCTGGCTCCCTTGCAATTCCGTCTTACACAGGTTCGACTGTACATGTAAGCCCATCTGTGTTTACTGCCAATAGATCATTTATGTGAGGTTGATTTGTTGGAGGGGAAAGTGGTGGTATACATAAAGGGAAGGTACTTCAACAATAATTACAAGATTTTAGCAGTAACTTCCCTTACAATTGGTATCAAAACAACCTCTGTCACGGTCCCGTAAATTCTACGGGCCATAGGCACAGCGCTACACGGTTCAGGCTACGGATGCGGCAGCGAAGAGGTTAATCTTTGGTATCAGCTGCATGTACTCAAGAAACATTTTGTCAAAATTCAAATTCCAAATGTTGAAAATTGGAAGAGCAGATAGACCTACATAAAGTGAGTATGATTGTCAAAGGAACAGTTTTTTCTTACCCCCCTGATAAATTTTGGTTTCTGTGCTGAGAACATTTGAACAATTTGCTGACCATAAACAGCATAATTTTTTTTCTTTCATGTTTTCTTTCACAGTGGGACGACATGATGGTTTCTTTAACAAAAAGAGGTACTTCTTTTGCCAAAAAGATCATGGAATTTTTCTGCCCCTTCATGATATTATCTGTAAAGTTCATTCAAAGGTGAGCTTGTTTTGTTTGTTTGCTTGAATAGAAGCATGTCGACTTCAAAATGATAATTTAATAAAGATAGAAACATTAGTGGGAAAGAAAAGAGCAGAGCAAACCAATGGTGCCCTCCAGCCGCCAATAGTGAGTCTCTAGATAACAAATTTTTAAAAATATTGGTGTAGGTTTTGAGATTTTCTGTCCCATTACTGAAAAGAAAAACAGTGCAACTTTTGCCATCTTTTTGTCAGTTGGTTAAGTGTTTTTATTTTGCAGAAGCATGCTTTTTATGTTCATGGATAGCTTTAAGTCTTGCAGTAAAGTGTTAGTCTACTAGTATATTTGGTACTCATATGCACATTTTTAAATTCCTGAATATAGATTCATGCTGTGCTTGTAGCTAAATCACTGCTCATAATTATCAGACAAAGATGATTAGTGGGACACAACATGGAATGGCTTGTAGGCAATCAGGGAGTGCAAATTTTTCCAACTTCAGTTGTACCCACAGTTTGACAAAAAGCTTTAAAAATGTGCATTTCGTGACATACCATACATATTTTAAGGAATTCCAGGGGTTGTTTTTTTTTCTTCATTCAATGTAAGTGCATAATAAGTCAGATTATGTTGATAAGATTCCATAAAGCAGGACTAATGAGCCATGCTTTAAAGTCTGGCTTTATTAACCAAAAAAGTATTAGAGTGATAGAGAGTGACTGATAATACTACACAGATAAACAAATACTGGATACAGCACAGCTAGACAACATGGAGCGACACTCACAAACGCTGTGGTAGATGAGACAACAAGTGAACAGAGATGCAACAAGAGAAGTGTCACCAAGGAAGTTTATTACATTTCTGAATTGTTCACATGAGGAAATGCGTTTGTTTAGCTTCTGATTCTGATCTTTTCCAGGCGGTGAGTTGCAGTGATGACAGGCAAGAACCACTGACATCAAATATGGAGGATTTTATCTCAGGTGTCGAGATGGCTACTTCCTCACAGGGTAGTGACCTTAGAGAGCAGATTCTCCTTCAACACTCCAACATGAACAACGCAGAGCCTCTGAGAAGGTATGCTCTTCATGCAACAACAGTGCTCTTGGTTGATTGATTTGGCACCCTTTTTGTTGCTCAGTTTACTTTTTTAAAAGAGACCACATTGTTTGGTCCATCTTCTCCCTGGCCACTTCATTTGTTTGGTAATGGTAAATGGTAATGTGCCATTGTAGCAAGCTAGCGGAAAATGATTTCTTTGTTTTTAAACTAAAATGTGATGCATCAGGCGCTCATCAAAATAATAAAATCAAAGAAACTGTCATTTTCCGATGGTTTAGCAATTTTTATAGAATTTTTTTTTTTTTGGCTCAACACCTATGTCTTTTTTAAAACAAATTTCTGTGTGGATTTTACTGAAAAAAAATTTCAGTTTCAAGGAATCTTAAACTATAGAAGTCATCAAACTTTGGTGGCAATTTTCTTTCTAATTTTTACTCTGAAAATGGGCATTTGTCCTACTTGTCGAGATTTACAACGGAGATGTGATAACATTCTCAAGTCTCAAGTGGCTGATCTGTGTCGTAATGGGCAGTAAATTGATCCCAAATCTTCGCTGCCTGATTGATTAGCTATGTCCGCCCGAGTGCTGGTTCTGTAAATTATGATCTGAAGTTCGGGATCTTAGCCGATTATAGTCCTTCAGAGCAGGATCTTAGGGGTGACTTTTGTGTAGGAAAAAATTCTGTTTTCTTAAAATAACGAGATCTTAAGCAAATGGGGATCGTAAGTGGTGGGATGTTAGGCACCGACTTTTGTACTGGGTCCACTTTGAAGAGATTTTTCTTTTTCTTTTTCTTTTTTTTCTTTTGGTAAACGTTTTATGGCACTCGCAAACGCATATGGTCATATGAGAAGGCAAGATACCTAACGCATTTTCAGTTTGGTAGGAATTAATTTTGAATTTTGCCAGCGTGGTTGTGGAGACCTACTCTTATTGATTGAGGACCACCGAGGGATCTTTAATGTGAGCAATTTCTCACATGGGACCTCCAAGGTTTTTTAGCCCTTATCCAAGGTTTGGTGTTTGATCTTACCTCCCCTAAGGTCAGGGCTGAAGGACAGCAGTAAGAAGGAGCCAAAGAGTAGCAGTAGAAAGGCAGCAGAAAGAGTCAGGAGCCTGGAGGAGGAGGCAAAAAGGGGGGAGGCAGAAAGTGGAGACAGAAGCAGACATCAGAACATCATTAGAAAGGAGGTAGCGTGAAAGGAGAACATTTTTTAAAGAGGAAGTTTTCCATCTCCCTGTCAGGTTGAATCCCGTATGTTGAATGACTGGCAAAGACTGTACTATAGACCATGAGAGCCCCTCTTTCTCACTTTGTAAAAGAAAATAGATTGTTGGGGAGGGGAGTGGCCAAGTACTTAGATGGTGTCTGCTACAGCTCAAATTGATTGTTCTTCTCATTTCAGTGCTGAGGATCTTGTATGATATCAATGGTACAGAGGCCTTCAAACTTGACGAATCCATCTCAGATGGAAGATTTCTACAGTGGAATTGCTCATTTGTGTTATTTTTTGTTGATTTTAAGCATGCAGTGGGTATGGTGAATCAGAACATTCATACTTCCAGAAGGAAGTACAGTGGTCTCCGCCTAAGAACCTTATCTTTGGAAGAAAGGACAAGTGGGTTCTTAGGTGGAATTGACGGGGCGCAACTTAACACTTACTCTTTGGCTTCCCTTGTTTATTCTACGATGAAATAATGACACATAAGTCACACTGACACCCAAGGGAACATAAGGTGGTTTGTTTAAAAAAAATAAAATCAAACACGTGTTTGTGTGTGCATGTCTGAGTGATTTGCATCGGAATGGATGCAAGTGCTGAACCAGAAGCTTCAGAGTGAAACAGCATCCGTTGCAGCACAGTGTAAGTGAAGGGAGAAAATGACTTTCGCAATCCAGGTCTTCCTTGGTCTTCCTCTTACCTTATACCCTGATATCTTTTTATTGTATGCTTTACTAGCAAGCTTGAGAGGTGCCATACGTGTCGGATGTCCAACCACTTGATTGTTTGCCACTGAATGTATTTGGGGACAAATGTTGTTCCCACCATTTCTCTGCACCTGGTGTTTCTTTTAGGATTTTTACGCATGCAAATTACCGAGAAAAATGTCACATTGTATGAGTGGGTTCTTGGGGGACCGGGTTGCTTGGCGGAGAGTTCTTAGGTGGAGACCACTGTTTTTGTGCAACTTCAGCATTGTGTGAACTATGATCAAATCGGCACTCTCTTTTGTTTCTGAAGAAAACACGGAAGGGACTGCTTGTGTGTTGACAACTCTTTCTGTCCTGCAATTTGTTATCTTGATTCTTCCTATGCCAAGATTTATCAGCATGCTGTCACAGTAGTGAAAAAATTTGAGAGAGTTTTTTTAATTCAATAAATGGAACAGAAAGAGTAAAATAAGAAAAGGTATCTGTGTAACTTTGTTTCAGTGCGGAGTGATCAAACAAGACCGTGCATTATTGTGCAAATTTATTGTAGCAAGATGGTAACCAAAAGTTCCTAGATATTTTGTTTTGAATGATGTCCTTCATCCTGTAAATTGCCATGTTTGGATCTATGGTATAAGAATATCATAGTTCTTTGATATATATTGGAGTTAAATTTGGATTATTTGTGCTTCATAGAGTGGTTAGGGTGGAAAAATATAGAGCTGTGGAATTGGACAAGAAACTTTTTGTTGCTCTAGGAAATGCAAATACCCAGTGCCCATTAGGGGATCAGTTCTATACTACAAACCGATCTCCCAACTCGCTGCCTCGAAAAACAAATGTGTTTGTTTTTTAGGCCACGAGTCGGGTGATCAGTTTGTGCCTTGAGGGTCATTTTGTGCCCTCAATCTGGCTAGCCCCGCCAATCAAACCGAACCGAACCGATCATACCAATGGGCACTTGGTATAAGGTTACAAAAGTTCCATCAAGAACCTTTTAGGTTATGGATGTTGTTCATTGTCGTATTTTTGTTCATGCATCGACATGCATACACTCTTGATTGAATGTACTTTTACACGATGGTTCACAAACAACTATAGCATAACCTTCCATCCCTAAAAACACCCAATAATATAGCAAAAACACATATTTAAGTAAACCCACTCATGGATACACCAGAATACTTGCACACACTCACACACGGACTCTCACTCACACACACACACACACACACACACACACTCACACACACTAATACACATATACACATACACATACACTACCGTACGCATGAACATAGACTTATTACACACACACACACACATCCATACACATACACAGACAATCAAAGAGGTCTTCTTTTCCTTTTAAAAAAATACCTTTACAACTGAGATTACTGGCCAGATTTCTGTATAGACCTAATTCCCTGTTGGATGTGAATTGAATACAAAGGTGTGATAGGTAAGCCCTTTTGATCACAATGCTTGTAGTGATAACAATACTCAAGACTTTGAACTGAACAAAGTCACAGATTTAAGTAATATTATGCAAAACTATAAGGATATTGTGCAGAACCATATATAAGGTAATTTTCGCTGAGCATTTGTTCAAACAAAACTGCACGGTTTAGTTCAGTATCTTTCACAATTCAATGTACAGTAGTTTTCACCTAAGATCTCGATGCTTAGGTGCATAGAAAATGCTGGATCTTAGGCGACAAAACCAAGGGAAGAATCCATGGTGACTCATGTTCAGGCCCACAACCAGTAAAACGGTCTCCCTTCACTCTAAAATGAACAGACGTTACTCCTGGGAGGGTTTATGACTTGTGGCAAGTAAAGAGTGGTCAATCTGTCATATTCACTTATTATTCTATGGTGAGTCTTAAGATCTACACTTATCCAGTATCTCCTCTTCTTTTCCTGTCCAAAATTCATAGCTTTCCATCTCTGACCAATTGCACTATTGTGTTGTGACCACTTCAATTAAAATTCAGTCTGTCTCACAAATTTGGGAGTAGACAACTGATGCAAGGGTCAGGGAAGAGTTCCCAGTTTGATATGATCCTGTGTGGAGCAAACTTGTAGTTCTTACCCACCCTGGGTATAATGTAAGTTTAGGCGGAGAGCTCATATATATGCGAATGTGAATTCCATCTGGGGTAAACATTGTAGCCTACCATTTCATAGAGATTTACAATGGACGTGATCACATTCACTAGAGTGGCTGTTCTGTGACACAATGGGCAGTTCAATGATCTGATAGCAAATTTTTACTCTTGACTGACCTTCAGTGCCTGCCCAGATTTTTGTTCCATAAATTATGATTTGAAATGCAGGATGTTAGCCGAATGTGGACCGTCAGAGCAGGATCCTAGGGGTGACATATGTGTAGTAAAAATTCTGTCTTCTTAAAACAGCAGGATTTTAAGCGAACCGGGATCGTAAATGATGGGATCTTAGGTGAAGACTACACCAGTAAGGGTGGAGAATGTCTCCTTTCACAGTTGGACCATCCAGATTTTTCTAACAGTAAAAGTTTGCGACAAACTCAGTTCATGCCAATCAGGGAAACAAAAAAAAAATTATGATAATCTTTCAATATCACAACTGCCACAAAGCAGTAACAAAGCAATAAATGAGACCTTCTAGATATGATTTTGCAAATAAAGAAGGTAACAGTATCAAGTGTAAAGGTCGCAACAAAACAGCTCTCCTTGATATTTGCAATGTTAATATGTATAACGTCAACAGCAACTAATAATCCTCATATGCAGACTTTCGCCAATTTTCTAATTTTCTGCGTTATGAGGGGAAATGATGCTGCTTATGTGACGTCAAAGGTTGCTTTGTACACATTATATCAGATTCTAGATAGTAAAAAGCTTGAAGGAAACAGTGGCTCTGGCAAGGCTTCCTCATATTCGCCAACATATTTTACCAAGTGTCTTTACTGTTTAGATGTGTTGTTCCGATGGTGAAATCGGCTCAGACATCGCGGGCCTTGGTTATCATTTTTTTAAGGGTTTATTTTTCCTTAACTACACAACCTATGACTTGCGTGTAGTTCACTGAAATGTTTTGTCTAGATGTGCATAGTCTTAGCTGTTTGAAAAGGCTGGAGATTTGCCTTCTTTTTGTGTGCTCATGAAGCTTTTCATTTTGCCCTTGGATTTCATCTGTATTGTTTAACTTTCTTGATCTTCATATTGTAATGTTATCTAATTATTTCTGTAGGCTGGCCATAGATTTCTCGTCTTTTACAAAATATGACCCACACGATCAAATGTATGATATGTTAGAGATCCTTACTAAGCTTCTTCAATTTCATAGGGTTCAATATATCGTTGGTGTTGCAAGCAGTCTACTTTAGTCCATTTTGGTACTTTTTACACTAAAGACAAAAAACTCGTTTTATTTTTGTTGTCTTGTTCCTATCAGGAATAATGAAAAGAAAGAAAATTGTAAGCCTTGACCATAGCATTAAACTGCATTTTAGTGATGCTGAAAGGAGCATCTTTGATAGAATTTCGGGAGGGTGTAAAAATTGAAAATTCTCAAAATTTGAACTTGAATGAAATGCTTGCGACAGCGATGATATGCTTGGTCATAAAGTTCATGATTTATAGCTCTCTATCCATTTGTACTTTTGTTTTACTTCTAAGCTCTTGGTCTTTAACAAAAACGCAACACCTGAGTAAGTAAAGCAGACTTGTGGCTTGATTATGAAAGCAATATATTACGTGCATAAGTGATACTCAATTTGATCAATGGACAGATTTGGGTCTTAAACTCTCTGAGGAATAAATCGCTACCTCAAAATTATTAAGTTCCATATGCTCAATACTTAGTTTTGAAAAATTTGATGTCAACATATTTGCGTTTCACAATATTATGTCAAGATTTTTTTAATGGAATTCTTTGAATATCCTGATAATGACTTTGAATATTCTTACGATTTTGATAGAGCAGACAGTGCATTTGCTTTCTGACATCATGGTCTAAGTAACTCAAAATGGCCCAAAATGTCAGATAGAACTTTGTAATTTTCGGAGGTAGCGATATAATGGCAATGTTCTAGTCTGTGGAGAGGTACATCTGTAAGTTCCTATTTTTAGACTTACTGGAAACTGTCGTATCTAATGCAAATGATGGTCAGTGGAAGATGATATTTTGCCATCAAAGTTTCTGCCAACAAAGAAATATCCAAATAGGCCTATTGCACAAAGACAACTCGCTTTGGCACAAGTTCAAAATCACATATACACACACCACGCACACGCACACCCACACACACGCACACACACACACACACACACACACACACACACACACACACACACAAAAGTATACACAAACACACACACTAACTCACTTTTGCATGTAGGCCTACATACACACATACACCTACATACACACCTACTTGCACAAATGGTACGTAGATACTCGCAAGTACAAAGCCAAACTTTCCTAACTGAATTGTATTTAAGTTTATCCAGTTGTTGGCCTTTGGGTCAAGATGTTATCAGTTTGTTCTAGAGGTGAGGGGAGGCTCTCAGCAGTTGACATGTCAGTTTTGAGGTTGCATTCCTTGATAACCTCAGGCTACTGCGTTCATTTTTCTATTGTGTTCAAGGTTTCCTGCACTTGCCAATCTCTCAGTTTTGGAAGTGTCAACCCAGGAAGCAGTCCTGGTGTTACATTTCCAGTGCTAAGCTAGGACTGGTATCAATATTTTGACTTAATTTTTTATTCAAACTTGAGAAAAACATGCAACCTGTCCACTTCACTGACTTGGTGATCTTTTGCTTATGATTAACTTTGTTATTTATTATGCTCTGGTGAATAGAATAATTGATATTTGTTTATTAGCATGGTCCCATCTTTTCCTTTCTTTTTTTTTTTTTTTTCGATTGCTTAGACAGCAAATATTATAAACTGCAAGGTAAAGATGTGATAATGTTCCTTTACTCAAGAGCCTTGAAGGTGTATGTAATTATTATGGAAAGCAAAAAAAAAAAGTCATAAAAATGAAGAGAGAATTTAACCAATAAATTGAAAAGTCGTGCAGGAGCAGACTCTTCATGAAACGATGCTTTAACTCAAAGCTGAGCTGGACAGTTTTGGTCTCTGGTATGATTCCATGTTCCTTACCATTGGGCAAGCTGTTAAATTATTCTTTTTAGATTTTGCTTTTTCTTTTTGTGCTTTTCTCTTCACTTACGATATTTCATAATGTGATATAGCTTGATACAGTGTAGCGCATTAACAGTTACTAAATGTTACATTCATGTATCAGTACCATTATATTTGAAAAAAAAAAAAGAACTTGTCAAAGGAAGTGTCTCTGTTTTATTGCACAGCTGTTATTGATGTAGTGCGAAAAGATTTTAATATTGGTTAATGGTTCATCTCTGTATGCTGTTCCTCTGTAAAGAAGGAATTGTTGAACTCACAGTGTTTCATGTTAACTTCAGGTGAGAGACAAAGATGGTGGGAGGGGGTGGAAGGAGGTAAAGTAAAGACAGAGAGAAAGAGACATAGAGGGGGTAGGCAGAAAGAGGGGAAAGAATGATAGAGAGAGAGAAGGAGAATGAAGGGAGGGAGGAGGAGGAGAAGAAGGAGAGAGAGAGAGAGAGAGAGAGAGAGAGAGAGAGAGAGAGAGAGAGAGAGAGAGAGAGAGAGAGAGAGAGAGAGAGAGAGAGAGAGAGAGAGAGAGAGAGAGAGAGAGAGAGAGAAAGAGTGAGAGAGAGAGAGAGAGAGAGAGAGAGAGAGAGAGAGAGAGAGAGAGAGAGAGAGAGAGAGAGAGAGAGAGTTGAACTTGTTGACCCTTCTTTACTTAACATCTTTGTCAACAGAACGGTTTCATTTCAAATCAGTGTTATGCGAAGATGTCCATTTAAATCACGGTTGTAGAGTCACAGATGATTAAATAATCTGTCAAAATTGTGTTTTTTAGAGTTCTAAGTAACTGTTCAAACTAGAAGAAACTGTCATAATTTCTGTTATCTACATTCTTACAGTAGATATGTAACCTGCCATTCTGATAACTATAGCATAATGCCTTTTTTTGTGTAATAAAACTTGTATTAAGAAGATGTTTATGATTGTTTGTGAAACTTTAAGACTTGACCTTTCCGGGCTTGATAGATACTCTCTTGTTCTTGTACACCTGAACTCAACTGGCAACAGTTTGTCAAAAGGAACATCTTTTACACTGCCTATTACATGGCTCCTATGTGGAGAGATGCTATTAGAAATATTATGTAAGCTGTATAAGTAGGTTTACCTATAAAAGGCTGTTGTGAAGTGAAGATTTCAACGCCTGACGATAAAGAGGTTGCTGAAAAATCATATATATGAGTTAAAAAGACGAGTAAATAATGATTGTCTGAATATAATACATAAAATACCAAAAGAAGCTAGGAGTAAAGAAATTCTGTTTCTAATATTTTTGGTGGAAATTTGTGTCCTATGTGCATTGTCTTGTTGTTTACATGTGTACTTAAGTTGAACATGTCTACTAGAATGAGAACTGTGTGTAGGCCTATTAATGCTATGATAGTTAGACACATTCATCATATTTTCTCTTTTTTCATTTGATAAAGGGGCTTTTATTTGTGATGCATCGAGGTGAAATCAGGCACTCGTTAAAATAATGAAATAGAAGAAACTGGCATTTTTCTGTCCGTTTGGCAAATTTTATCAAATTTTTGTTTCTTGACTCCACACCTTTAAGGTCCATTTAAAAACACATTTCTATGTGGATTTTCCTGGGAAAAAAAGTTGATTTAAGGCACAAAAATGTAAATTTGCAGTTTCTAAGGACTCTCAAGCTTTGGAAGTCACCAAACGTTGGCGTCCATTTTTTCGCTAATTTAACCCCTGAAACCAGGTGACCCTCACCTCCTTGAATCGCAAATATCTTGATTTCTATTCATGATGTATGAGTATTTTCTTCACCGAAAGCAAGACAAATGAACAATCTTAAAAATGATACCAATAACTCCACTAGCCTAAAAATTGACGAATGCCTGATTCCATTACGAAATGACACATTTTGTTTCAGTTTTGGCAATTATCTGCTGAGACTCTTTTCATGTGAAATGTGAGGACAACAGAATTGGCACATTCGTTTATAATAATGTAGCATTTTTACACACGGATTATAATATATAACATTAACATTCTTGAATACTTAAGGCTCATTTGAGACCACTGTCAATGATTCTTTAAAATACAATAGATGTTTTTAACAAAGTGTTGATTTATATATCAACGAAGTCTGATATGTTTGAGTCGTGTTTCAGCTATGAAATCAATGTGGCAAACAAAGCCCAAAAAAAGTTTATTGATCATTGATGTGTGCATTAGTTTGAAAGTATTGGAATTTAGTTGCAGTAGCCTTATTGATTACTATGTTGAGGTGTAGAAGCTCTTTGAAAATTATATTATTAAGTCCTAAGAATGGTTGTCATAATGTCATACCACCTTAACATTGAGTCAGCAGAACATAATTATGTAAAGATAAGAAAACTTCTTTACTGTAATGGCTTCAAAAGTCAGCTGTCTGTCTTTTTGACTTGCCTTTGTCATTGATGAAGTTTGAATGGTATGGACATGACTAAATTGTTATGAGTTAAAAAGTTACGATTTTTCTATAAGACTAGTTCATTTCTGTGTGTTGGTTATCAGAGCCAGCTCCTGCAGTAACACAAAACTGGACTTCTCTTGACGGCACATCAGTCTCATGTAAAGTCCACTGTGGGCTCTGTCTACATGTTGGAATAACAAAAATACAATGTCTGGAACATAATAAACCGTGTTCTGACTTTTTCTTTTTCATGTGAACCTGGTGTTTTCTTTTTCACTTGGATTAAATATTATTTTATGTTTTGTGTCTATATGAAGTAGCTTACTTTGTAAATGTGTTGTTTTTTCCCCAGGTTGTTGGATCTTTTTGTGACGTACGTAAGCCTACCTTTATTCATTTTGAGTAACTTCTTATCGGAAAGTCAAATTAGGGTAGTGTCCAATAAGTTCCACTTTAAATTATTAACTGGCAAAAGTTAAGCTTGGTTCAAGGCGGGTTAGTGAGTAAGATCTAATTCTGAGTATGAATCAAACTACAGTTAATCTTACTGATGCACAGGATAGGTTAACATTATATTAAAGAAAAATAGAAATGTCTGACGCAGAAGATCTGGACAGTGGGAGAATTTCTCTGTTTGTAAGAACTGTGTGTCACTTCATCATTATTGGAAAGCGTTCCTTAGCAAAGTATAACTGGGGAGCATTTTAGAGCTTCCTATTTCTGATGATTGTCATGGGTGATTTTAATGCAAAAGTGGGAGCAACAAGACATGAAGACATAGTGGGTCCATATGGACTGAGAACCAGAAATGAAAGAGGAGAAAAACTGATAGAATGGGCCATCCTGAATGACAAGATTA